GTCTGTAATTGGCGGTATTCGGTATTGCTCTCTTTGTGTGGTGTTGATGTCGGAGAGATCGGCCTCTGGCGGTTGTGGGAAGAACACCTTGCGGAGTAGGTTGACTTTGTCAGTGTCGCTCTCTGCAGCCCCCCCTTCCGGTGTTCTCAGTGCCAGCATCGTGCTGCCTTGCTGCTGACCCCGATTCTTGGCCCATTTAGCTACCCTCCAGAGCCCCTGGGGACCTTGATCCACTGCTTCTTCAATGAAGCTCCAAAAGCCTCGCCGGAGGGCAGCTTTGATGGTTCTCCCCTTCTGATTTCTTGCCAGTTTATATACCTGCCAGTCCTCCTCACTATGTGTCGCAATACATCGTCGGTACATACGGCGAGAGTGTTTCACGGCCTTCCCGCATTCCTTGGTCCAGGATGGGTTCGCATATGGACTCGGGTTCGCCCACGGAGTTGATTCCTGCACCCCACGTTGTATGATTTCGACCAGGTGGTTTACAGCGTCGTCAATTTGGCGGGGGGTTATCAGCGTGGGTAGTGTTGGTAGGTTGTCAGCTACAAAGACATCGAATTTCTCGGTATCTATAGCCTTCCAGAGCCGTCTTCTTGTCTCAACAACCGGAACTGTGGCGGCGTCGAGTAGTACCCGGATCGGTAGGTGGTCGGAATCTGCGTGACTATCGAGAGCGAGCTCGCATACAACCAGTCTCTCAGTGAGAGCCGGTATACTAAAGAATAGGTCGATCGTCGTGCGCTCCCCGTTTTGATCCCTGGTAATCGTACCCGGCTCTAACCACAGGTCAAGGTCAGCCTCATCGCATAGCTCAATGAGCTTGTCGGAGCCTGAATCTTGTGTGGCATGAATGCCCCCCTACGCAGGGTGGTGTAGGTTGAAATCACCGGCGATCATAAGATGTTTCCGGCTATGTTGTCGTTGCTCGTCGCGTAGCAAGCTAGTAAGAAGCTCCACTGTGCCGGTGGTGCCGCACTCGTTGTATATATTGAAGAATCAGATCTCGCCAACACCGGTTTGGACTCTCGTTCTCCCCCCTCCGGTCTCCACACTGGACGGAAAGAGTAGTTCATGTGTCCGTTTCAGTGGATGGTATGTGGTGTCGTTGTATGGGTTTTTCCCATGGTTCTTATAGCGCAATGATATCCGCCTTAGCGACCTCCGGTTTCGCCAGGAAGTCCGCCATAACGACATCTCTCGATCGGTGCGTGTTATATTGGATAATGTGAGTGGTGTATTATTCATTGGCAGTCGGTGTTGCCATGATTTTCTTGGTGAATTGGCGGGTCCTCCTTTCTTCCTGGAGGTCTGCTCTGCTAGTGAACCTAACTGACGAAGCCGACTTCGTGAAGCTGACTTAGTCGTCAAGCGTGCGCTTATTCCTGCCTCTGGGGCCTGGCTCCCGCATAGGGCGTTAGATTGCGAGATGATTTACTTCTCTTCCAAATTGCAGACGAAAAAAACAAGGAAATTTCCAGATTGATAAAAATTTAACATCGAGTCGAACAGTCCACTGTCAGAAAAATGCGCAGATTCCTGTCCACAGCGCATGGTCCCAAGTAGGCTCTTTCGTGTTCTACAGGATTTTTCGATTTGATATTAAATGGAGGATTCAAAGAGCGGTTTATACTTCGATTCAGAAGGACGCATAAACATCTAGGAGCCTGACCTCGAGAACTGTGAAGAGTGCCCGGTTAGGCATCACTGATGATGTCATCTTTCGAAGTCGGCCCAGCAAACGCTTAGACAACTCTCCCATCTTTTGAATGGTTGTCTCTCATAAGACACTGCCAGACATTGCCAAGATATCATACCTTCGTCATGACTACGGCAGCGATATTCGGCTCTACAGGAGCAGTTGGCTCCCAGATCTTGGCTACAATCCTTGCGATAGACGCATGTTCAACAGTGAAGACGATCTCCAGGAGACTCCAGAATGTGCAGTCAGCTAAACTCGAAGCGCTCGATGAGAGCGACTCCTCAAAACGGGGTGGAATGATCTCGTCTCTGTCGCCCAGGCCATCAGTGGTTTTCAACGCGGTTGGTACCACGAGAGCGTCAGCAGGCAGCGTCACGAATCAGTGGAAGATCGATCATGATTTGTGTGTTGAGAACGCGCAAGCAGCAAAGGAGGCAGGCGTGAAGACGTACATTTAAATTTCTAGTGGAGGCACTAGAAGCCTTCTCTGGGGCCGGGTTCCATATTCAAAGATGAAGGTTGGCGTCGAAGATGCTGCCAAGGAGCTTGGTTTTGACAATGCTGTCATTCTTAGACCAGGAGCGATTATCGGAAGAGATAAATCAAAGTTCTTTTTCTTAGAAAATTTGGTGGAAGGCCTTCAGAAGCTGGGACAAGGTGTCCAGGACAAAGTTGGTATGAGTGCTGACCAATGCTTGAATTCATCAAATATTCAGCGCTCATAAGGCACGAGCAGGTCAAGATCAAACGACAATTGCTAGAGCATCCGTGGCAGCTGCTCGTATGATTGAAGAGGGCAAAGCCCCATCGAACTATTGGGTTCTCGAACAAGCTGATATTGTCTGGCTTGGCAGAGATGACTGGAAAGACTGAGGCGCTTTGGGGTGCCGTGTCTTGGACACAGCAATTTTTTCCAGTTAGGAATTTTTTGTGCGTACGAACGATGTTAAAAAAAAACGACAAATCATTTATGGCAAGAATTGTACCTCAGGCACTTGCCAAGAAAGGGACTTTCGCATGGTATCAAAAGTCATCAATGAGTAAAATCAAGCACGATGGTATCCTGCAGCTTTTGAACTCAGAATCAGCGACATCTCTGCCTCCTGGTCCCTAGATGAATCCAAGATTCAGACAGTACGTCCAAATAAAAACAGCTTATCTTGTAAAGCGGTTGCGACATGATACTAAGAATTTATGTACTAAGTAGCCATACCTAGATCCAACCGCCTCTTGGTAAGTGAATTCGGTCTAATTGTGCCGATATTAATTCCCATGTTGATGATTGTTTCATCCTGCCTATGACCTTGGAACATTCTATGTTTCGAATGAGTATTCTGTGTTTCGAATAGCCAATTTAAATTTGGCTGAGCCCGTGCAAGAAGATGAACAAGATTAAATTAGGGTTGCGGAGAAAGTAGTCCCCATTGAGCGTGGGACGATCTATATCTAAAAAATGACCAGATTGACCACCACCGGACCCATACGGCCACGCTTTCTTGGAAGTGATTCATACAAAATCAATGTGCAGAGAATTTTGAGAAAATCCCGCTTTCAGGACGCCATGTACTATGACGACATGCAATTCGCGCGCGCTGAGCCGTGGTGGTCGCAGTCTTCTGTGTCCTCGTTCTTATCTGGACCCTGCTGAGAATGGTTACAATCGTTCTTATCAGTTCCTCAGAGGCAGATCTCCACTAACTTTTGGTAACGAACGGTACGAGTTCGCAAATTTAAAAATTCACATTTATCGTTGCAGAATCATTCGGTCAAGTCTATCACGACCTGACTCCATACTGTGTTCTCGAGCCAAAGGGACTAGGTCGATAAGCTAGACGTATCCTTGCCCATGTCACAGTTCGTAACAAAACAGCGATATTGGAACCCGATGAGCCCAAAGATAGTATTGACTCATGGGATGATTTAATCGCAAAACTACGGGATGGACTTCACGATCTTGACATGCCAGTGTTAGAAGTCACATGACTTCTTTGTTTGCTCCTAGTACGTACTTAGTCTAGCTAAACCTGTAGACAGCTTCTCTCTTTTAAAAACGCATCCAGAGATCTCCAGTTTCATCTACAGCTTCATCTGGAGACTGAATATCATCTCTCTCAGCCAGTTTATTTCATGGACTGCATGCGGCTCGTTGTGCCATGGGAGCAGATCAACGTTTAGGCTCAAAAGGAACAAGCAAATCGTGTTATGACGAGGCCTAGCCATAACATTTCATGAGCACATGTCTTTGGCAGATTCTGATCACGAAGACGTGGGTTGGCTTTAACCACCTAATTCACACACACGCCTTGTAATGAAGCGGGCCCGACTTGCTCGTACCTCGATCTCTACTTCGAGGTCGTATCTAGCATGCTCATAAAGTAGATATGCAAATTTAAGCATCGACTTGATTAAATTGGGAACCTTTTTAACGGCCGGTACTGCGGGCTCTTGATGATTGAAGGGAAATGGTAAAAGTACAGTGTTTGGATGAAATGAAACGTCTAAGTTGGTAGTTCCATGAATATCAGAATTCTGGGTTGTGCGGAGAAGTGGGTCCACTGGCCGGGTTGATCCTGTGGGCCCCGGTCCATCCCGAGGTCTGGGCTATTGTTCGACACTTTAAATTGAACTGAGAATGGCTCTTAAATAGCTGCTCGGGAATTCTTCACGACTCTGGGCTCGGACTCTTAGTAAAACGCCAAGAGATGGAGACCAAAAATGAATAATGTCTCTTTTCTACACCTTAACTCCTCGCCCTCTACCCTCCATTTCTTTCAACTCTATCTTTTTCTCCTCGCCGGAATTCATGATGGAAGTGAAATATTCTACTAATCCCTCCCCCGGATTAGTCCAAAAAAAGGTACAGCAGACCATCTACTAGGGCGCACTTTGGAACCCCCTGGGTTCCACAGACATCCAATCTTGGATGCCCCCTTGTCTTAAATTAAGCTGCTAACACGAAGCTTGGGGGTTCATACATTGTCCTTCCGAGTTTGCATCTCTGTTTAATTTCCTTTCTCTTCAATACTGTGATGCGGATTTTGTGTCGTTATGACCGCCAGGAAGGGGTTGATGCCTAAGTATTCCTCTGGAACAGAAGAAAAGTGAAGATACTTGAATTGATACTACATTTGCATTGGCAAAAAATCCCCTGCCTAATCTCTGCTAGCGTTGCAGGGTTCTAGGAACATAAAGCTTTAAATCCCATTTAAATCCGTATATCGCCAATTTTCAGATCGCGCAGATGAACCTTTTTGCTCCATGGATATTCAGAAATCTCTATATTTTTAGGATTAGATGTTTTAGAAAGCTTCATTTTTAGATTATTGAATCGTGGACAATGGAGATGCATAGAGTTCTGTGTGATGAAAAGCTTCATGTTGATCTTTTACACTGTAGAGAGCGGTGTACAGAGCGGTACTAGCTCAGACATTTAGCCGCTAAAATGCCCCTATGACTAAGAAAACCTACATTTTAAGAACGGGCAAGGTTCATGTAATTAAAAACTAGGGGGGTCAATGTGAGCATTGACCATGAGACCAACTTGGAGTTCAGGGGCCCCCCTTCCTCTGTAATCTCAGAGGCATTTGAACACTGAGCGCCATCAGGCTGCATAGGGTGCTAGATGACTTGCCAAGCAATGTGCGTTTTAGCCAGCTGGCGTAGTGATGGAACCCAAGCATCACAATCTACCGTGAAAGAAGACCAATGTGATGACGGCTAAATTGCAGGAGCAGCCCAATCCGCACTAGTTATGGGGTGACTTTGTGGCGCTAACCCTATATATGCTTCAAGTTAATAGCTCGGTAACTAGTGATCTAGAGGTTAGCACGAGGATAGATTATTTACTATAGTAAATGGGACCCGTATCGAAAAATAATGCCAAGAGAGAATTCTGCCAAACCGGCTACTTAACCATATTAGTAGTGAGTTTTGCTATGTTTACAGGGCTGAGATTAAAATAGGGGTATCGTAGTATTTGACACACTTCGGTGATACACATTGACCTAAGGAGCCCTGTAGCGGAAATGATTTAAAGGTATGTATGTAGTCAGATGCCATAGTAAGAGGGATAACCGCGTGCTGAACGGTGCTGTGCTATGTCCATCGTTCGCATGATCACAGACATCAAATTGGCCTTCCAAACTCGAAGGGGTTGATTGTTCTTCGCGTTTTCGGTAAATTAAAAACAAGGATGGGCGAGATTGGTTAGCTATTCAAGACATTGCCAGGGGTAATTAATTGGGTCAAGTGTATTTAGGCGGAAAGTAAGCCTTTAATTAGAGATGTATTGTAATAAAAATTCGAAGTCAGAAAAACATGGTCAGAGAGCAGTTCCGATTGCTTTGAGACCGCAAATTTAGGTTGAGAAGACTCCAATTTGGATAATGGTTAGACCATTCCAAAGATCGAAGAAATGTGAGAAGGCAATGGTGTGAATAGATCGAAAGATTGCAACGAGCACAACGAATATTTGGACTCAAAAAGCACAACCGTTTTGGGCCATGAGAATGGGGACCATCATAGCCTTCACATACCTCTCATGGGAAGTAAACATTCTTTTCAACACCCTACTGCAGTCAGATAACCCTTCATTAGTGGGAATGAAAAACGACATACGGCGTTCAAAGAATGGCTGATTAAAAAGGATGCTATCTAGTTACCACATTGAGCTTGAAGAGACTGATTCGTCTCACGTACCTATACCCTTGGAATTGCCCGAGCGAGACAAATGACCATGCGTGCAAGCTTTCCCAGCAGCATTTTGCGTCTTTACAGCTTACTACACTCTCAAGTTTCTTCTTGTACTTCATGATTTCACCTACTGGCTTGTAGACTTTTGCACTTGGCAGTCACCTGTGGACATGATTGTTACTCCCCATTTGACCAATCATAAAACAGTTTGGAAATAGGGTTGAGCCTCAAGATAAAATATGATTGGCTACCTTCCGCCACAACTTTCCCATTCCGTGTCACGGCTTATCTAATATTTGGCCAGGCCGAGGCCAATCTTAGAACCTGAAACCTTGCAAGTCCCAACCTCCGTATCGAAGTTGAGGTGGTTGCCTTCTTTAGCGCCAATTTTGGCTCCCAAAGAGTAATAGAAAGTGCAGAGTCTGAAACGGAAGGGATTAGTACCGAAAGCTGTTCTTTGAGTGATGAGGTCGCACCCAAAAACTCCCCCTGTGGTTCATCCGAGCCTTTCAATCCAGGACAGAAATAAAGTACAGGCAAAGCGACGTTAAACCCGTGCGGCATGCTCGGATTTACCACTTCGAATTCATTTAGCTTCAATGGCTAGTTGATGGATGAAAAAAAACGCACTATCAGAGTCATTTCTTGGTGGCCTTCTGCATCGATATCCTAGAGGGAGAATTTTCAATTTCAATCGATTTTTGTGGCGTCCTAGGGTCAAAACGTACAAGAAAACACGGAAATCTCTTGCTCTCCAGGATGATCAAAACTTGCTTCAACTCGCCCCTAGGTATTGAAGCATCACCTTCTCGCCTTGTGGGATTCGCACAAGGGGTAGATGAATGGTGCACGGGGACTCTGGGGGTGGACAAAAGCACCCCACCGTATCTTCACTTCGAATGATGGGTAAATACTGCTCATCACATTTAGAACTAGTACCGAGGCAGAAGTGCACAGACTTGGTGCTTAGTTCGCAAAATCAGACTTGCTTTCAGGACTTAGTCATGAACTTGGATCGCCTCTGCATGGCATTTTCGGAACAGCGAAACGTTTGAATGGCATTATTATGGACGCGCTACAACGAAGATAAATCTAAATGATTTCGTCTTGCGCATACACACTACTAGGCTCGATCAATCAACTTCTCGAGCATGCTAGTGTCAATGATGTTTGACCAAACGTTGCCGCTAAATCTTTCGATGGCGGTCAGCTCGCCGTTCTTCGCATTCTGGAAAAAATCAACTTAATGCTTTTGTCAAGCATTTCGGAGTGAACTGAATGACCCTAGTGCTGGACAGGGGTATGTTGATGCTTGGGCTGTGAGGCAGAATCACCAAAAAATTTCAATTCGCACACAATGTCACAGCGTAATTGAGTCCAGATGCCAGCGTCCCGTGAAACAAAGAAACGATGCCTATCCCAGTAAAAGTTTCAAATATTCACCTCCCGAACAGACGTAATAGGCAACATCTCATCCTTCTCTTTTGAAGTCCACGCCACATTCTTGCCCCATGAACGGGAGAATCTCTCAAGCACAGCTGTAAGGGCGCCCATTCTCGGTTCTATATGCTTCGTCCACTGCTGAACAACATAGAGCAAGAACACAAAAAACATAAGCAGAATAATCACTAGTCTGAGTGGGCTTGGCGTTGGAATATAAGACTCCGGATCCGGTGTTCCGTCTGCTCTTAGAGTTGGCTCAAATCCAATTGCCATAGGAAGATACAGAAGGTAGACCAGAACAGAACGCATTAGCGGTCCGTGAACGAGATATAGCGGGAAGCTGATAGACCCCAACCACAACAGCACGGGATGGGAGAGCATCCGTCGCATGAAGGGAGAAAGCAGTACCCCAAAGCATATCATCTGCGCCCCAAGACTGGCGTAGTATCGGCTGACGTTGGCATCTTTTGGGAAAATGATTTCGGCAAGTGATGCAAGTTGGGAAGACCACTCGGTTTGATCAGCGTATTGGTCGGGGTACGAGCAGATGTAGAGGCCCAGGGCGACGAAGCCGTAGGGTAGGAAATTAAAGATCAAGCGTGGCCGGAGGGCCGTCAGATTATAGAACGATAGTTCCGCTAGTATCATGCCAGCGAAAATATTTGTACCAACAGTACCTGGAAGAAGTTATTATGGGGGTTTAAAAATCTTGCGATGCCACGTCTCAAAACATACCATCCAGTGTTATCCAGCTATAGGCGTATAGAACCATTTGCGCACAGAGGCGAAAAAGCGGCGTGGTATTTACCAAAGCCAGTAGGGTCATGAACACATATAGAGAGCCACGGAATAGGGGCAGTAATGCCCACTGCGGTTGGTCGTAGGCATTTTCGCCATACATCCAAGTTCCCGCCATCTGCCGTATCAGATCCACGACGGCGGCGCCCAAAGACGGGCTTTGTTGCGGGCTAGTTGTTCTCAGCCAGTATGCATCTACCCTTCTACCCAATTGGAAGACACCGAACTGACATAAAAGCCAAGCTAACATTGTCATCAGGGCAGCGGGGAAAACCAGTCTCCACTTGCGCCGGAAGGCGCCCGTAGACAGCGTAGCGAGAGCATCACTTGTAGCTCCTCGTCGGGCTAGCTGAAGCGGTTTTAGGGCATTCACGAAGCCGAGCAGCACCAGGAAGATGGCTACCCACGCCTGGCCCTGTATGACTAGTCGAAAAAAGGGTCGCTGAAACAAAATAGAGTTTCCTGTTTCCGCAAAAGATGGCGGGATCAGATATGTCGCAAAGGAGAGGCAGGTATGACTAGCGACCACAAAAAGAGCGGCAATTCCTCGGAGACCCTGTAGAAATGATCACGCTAGTGAGCGACAGTTTCACAGCATGCGGGGGATTGGAAATTATACTTACATCTGCCCAGCTACTGGGACGGATGTAAGATGCAGATTGCTTGATCGCCGGGTCGACAATGGCCATATTGGACAGACGGGTTCATTGCTGGTCTAGTCAATAGTATAATGCAGCTTGCTGCAGCTGCCCAGCACATATACATAAATCCCGTTGGTACATCATGCCTTATTCCGGGGAGATATCTATCGAGAGATGAATTGTCAAAATCTGAAAACGTCGAGATGAGATCGAATTGAAATAGTTGACAGTTGATCTCTATCCGAAGACGGAAGGGTTCGAGCGGGCCAACATTCCACGATGAATTAGGAGTTCTTTTAAAAAAGCGGAGAAGCCCAGATATTAATTTGACATATTCAATTGGTTTAGAATTCAGGGGTTATGTGCTCCGTGGTAAAATAGAACAAGAATAGCCCGGCGCTTAGGGGGCCTTGCCATGTAATTTTTTTTTTTTCGTAGTCTCTTATAGATTCTTTTAGAGTCTTTTTTTTATTTCTAGATATTTGCCCCTTATTAGTCGTATAGCTAACATCAATCTGAAGAATTAACTTCGACATAGAGAACTACATAGCTAAGATCGGACTAGCAAGTCTAGAGTTCCTGATCGACACAGGAATTTCCGACCTGTCGATTCTTATACAAAGATCAAAACAATGCGGATGTTATAGATAATAAATAGACAACACCGAGTACAACATAGATATCCAACGGCTCAATCCACTTTATATTCGGAATACTATGAACACTATGTACTTTGTAGTTAAGATGCCCCTTTGTCCATATTACGTCACCTGACACTAAACCTGATCAGGGACTTGTTGATTTCGTCTCAACTGCGCCTTTTCTCTCTTTTCTTCTTCCACAGTCCTCTGGCAGGCTGTCTTGCCAAATTCGGTCTCTTACCTTTTGTCCTTCGTTTCTTCCAAATTCCTCATTCATTATCGAACCCTTTGGCACTCCCTTTTTGTTGAAAACCTCCCTATGTCCGGCTCGAATATCCTATGATTATCGATTGATAGCTCTCCATCAGCGATAACCAATGTCCAGCGGGAACTGGGTGCGACATCGTGGCCATGGTCACAGAGAACATAAACCCTCGATATCCGCCTCCCTCGGCAGATTTCGACCTTCCCAGCCGGCGCAGAGTTCCTCACCCACCACGATTGGAGTCTTTGGTCGACCCACGCGCGCGAACCGCAAATTCCGCCTCGAGGTCCTCACCTCACTCCCCTCGCTCTGCACATCGCCAGAGATCGCGTTCGCCTCTACCACGGCAACAAAATCTTCACGAACACCCGTGGCCACTCACTCCATCTCACCATGGTCCATCGCATGGTACGAGGGGCGAATGGCAAACCCCTAGACCCACCGGTCGCTCTCAACTATACGCCACACCGACTGAAATCAATCCCCCAAACTGGCCCCTGCGAGACGAATATGAATGGCCGACGCATCGGAAACCTATACCGGCGCGAGGGGGGCTCCGTATGTCCATGTCAACATCCAGGTTGAATAGTAGGCGCCCAAGGACGCAGGAATCTATAGGGCGCCCACAGGACTTGAACCTCCAGGGACCGTCTCTATCACGCTTCCCAACAAACGGGACCACCGATGAAACCCCTCCCCGACCAAGCGTTAATTCGTCTGAAACCTGGCGCTCAAGCATCGAACAAACAAGCGGGACAGAGCGCAGCAGTGTCCTGACCAAGAGCAGTTCGATCACTGATCTTTCACCGGATACCCCCGACACGCCTTTTGGGATGGACCGTGGGATGAGTGTCGAAGATGCGATTTCTATGTATCTCGATGGCTTCAGTGATGCGACTGAAGAACCTAGCTCGCCGAAATCCCACACAGGGAGCAAAGCGCCATCAATAACGCCTCCTCCATCACGCGATTCACACCTAGGTGAAGCATACCCACTAGAATTTCCGTCGCTGGGCGACATTCCGCCGATACCCCCGATGCCAAAATTTGCTACCTCGCGAGACACAAGGCCAGACTCTTTGTTTTTACCAAACTCGACGTTTTCCGAACACTCTCCCATACCGCCCATACTCCCAGAATCCGCGCCCGAGCTCACCGCTTTGGAACCCACGTTGCTTGAATATCCAGAACCGGACCCGTCAGACCCTGTTGTGCCGGATTCTCCCTACAAGGTCACGCCCTCCGCATCGCCGGTAGCCGAGGCGCCCGAGGTGCATCATGCACACCAACGACAGGCCTCAAAAAAAGTGTTCATTCCCGGATTGGTGCCGCCGCTACTCCGCTCTGGAAACGGCCCTCGAGACGATTACGGATTTCGCAAAGCTACCCAACATGTAAGCCTGGATGAATATGAGACCTGGAAAGGATCCTACTCCCACCATGTGATACAGCGGAGATCCAAATGGTGTGAACTACTGAGGGAGCACGGGCTACCCACATCAGAGCCCACAATCTTTCCCCCGCAGTCTTCGAAAGTCAAGCGGTTTGTGCGTAAAGGAATTCCTCCAGAGTTCCGAGGTGCGGCTTGGTTCTATTATGCCGGCGGGTACGAGCTTTTGAACCAGAACCCGGGGCAGTATGATGAACTTGTTGCGAAAGCCATGAGCTCACCAAGCAACGACGACAAAGAGCACATCGAGCGTGATCTTCACCGCACATTCCCTGACAACCTCCATTTCAAACCGGACGCCACCGAGCTAGCGCAAGATCCCGGGGGCGGCAGCTTGAATTATTCCAATGTCACCACGGAGACGCAGATGATTCAGTCCCTACGTCGAGTGCTCTATGCTTATGCGCTGCATAACCCGAAAATCGGATATACCCAGTCTCTGAATTTCATCACGGGAATGCTTCTTCTTTTTCTTCCCGAGGAAAAAGCATTCTGGATGCTGCACATCATTGCCGCAGACTACCTGCCTGGCACGCATGAAATCAGTCTGGAGGGTGCCAACATTGACCTCTGGATTCTCATGGTCCTGCTCAGGGACTCTATGCCGGGTACATATTCCAAGATCGCTGTTATGGGAGGAACTCCGTCCGGACGGGGCAAAATGCCTCCTTTAACCGTGAACTCTCGGCTGCCAGACATCACCTTGGGATTGACCAACTGGCTCATGTCGTTATTCATCGGAAGTTTGCCCGTTGAAACCACTCTCCGAGTTTGGGATGTTTTCTTCTACGAAGGCTCCAAGACCTTCTTCCGCGTGTCTTTGGCAATCTTCAAATCATGCGAGAAGGACATCCTTGCCGTAACAGACCCCATGGAAGCATTCCAGATCGTCCAAAGCGTCCCCAAAAAGCTGTTGGATGCCAACACGTTGTTGGATGAATGTTTCGTACGTCGGCATCGCGTCGGACAAGGTCGTATCGAAGAACTCCGAGCTCAACGCCGGGCAGCTATCCGCGAAGAGAAATTGCGACGATCCGTGGCCTTTGGGAAAGGTCAACTTCATTCTAAGACGGATGATTTCACCGACCGAAGCCCCACGGCAATCCCGGGCGTCGAGCACCGGGTCGTTGGTTCCTGGCGTCACTTGAAACAACATGCATTTCGATAAGCGAATGATCACCCTGGCTTCCATACCTTTCGGGTGTCTTTCCCAGACCACGGCCCTCCGGGTCATGTCATCTCCTTAATGTCTGTAATCCTAATTGTGACGTTGACGAGGTTTAGCGAGGGCAGCTCTTGGCCTGCATTATAGGCGTCTTGGCTTTGTAGGGCGATATGGGGGAATCGAGCATTTAGAGCATTTATCATCTTGCATATGTATATAAAAATTACCAACCTATCCAAGGTCTGTGCCAAACAGGCACCCGACTTGGCAATTCTCATCTTGAAGCACTCCACCTAGGCAGTTTTGGCCGTATCCCCCCCCCCCCCCACTAAGGCCGTCATAGCTAGGTCAATCTGATACAGCAAACCTGGGCAAACTATAGATCGTCGTTCGATCCCCTTGGATTGCTGTACCAGGTTCTACGTTATCCAATTGCAACATTCTCGCTTTTTTTCATTGTCCATTCGCCCACATTACTTCTTCCGACCTTTTGAACCAAGAGCACTGCCTCCACTACCACTCTCCAACTGTCTTCTCTTCGCGCATGGCGATCTGCGACTTCAGAATAGGATGATTCAAGATGGTTATGTGTTCGCGATTATCGACTGGGAGCTGAGTGGTGGGTATCCTGAAAGCCAAGAATTTCTCATGACGCGGTTTGTTGACAGTGTATGTGAGAGGTGATAGTTGAGGCCCTGGACACCCGAGTACCGCTTTTTAATGTCATGGAGACGTTCCAACTCCCCCCGCTCTCCAATTTCCACTTCAAGTTACATTGGATTTTGGTTGATCCGCTGAAGAGATCCAAGCCTTGTCAGATCAGGTGCTCAAGAGCAGCTACGAAGTCACCCATATTTTGAGTCAACAATAAAGACCAGCTGAACTGGTGTTTTTAAATCCGCTTTCTTTTTCGTGACTTCTTCTTCGATCGATCGGGCTGGTTGATCTTTCGGTTCGAGACTTGCGCTCGGCTGTTGGGTTCAATGTCGTCACCAAGGTCAAATGCGGTAGAGACCTTACTTCCCCTTTCCTTTTCGTTTTTTTCTGTCTTCTTTTGGCCCTCTCCCCTACTCTAAGCTTCACCTGTAGGTATGAGTGGACAAGCTGCCAGCTACTATAACGAGGGTGTTCCTCAGGGCCAGCCTCAACCAAACTACGGTCATGACCAGCAACATCAGAACTTTCAACAGCCAAATCCTCCACCGGCACCGTACCCGCAGCCAAGCTATCAGCAGCCAAGCTATCAGCAGCCTGCATCTGAGGCCAAACCACCGCCGCAATACCACCAAAATGTCCCAGAGTCCGGATTCAGCTTTGACCAGGCGTTCAAGATCGAGAAGCCTGAGTGGAATGATCGGTGGGCAGGTCTCTTGGTAATTGTAGTCGCGGCGCACTGATGAAAACATCCAAGGCTGACTTGTTACACAGTTGATTGCTGTCTTCCTCGGGTATGTCGCGGTATCTGGACTTACCATCCACAAGTATGCCACCAACAAAGCCTTCAATGGAGGAGGAATCTACGACTCGGCCAATGATTTCTCGCTAAATACCAACACTCTCGTTCTATTTGTCTTTGTCCTCGTCGTCGCCCTAGTCTTCTCTTTCCTCTATTTCATGGGCGCAAGATACTTCACCAAGACCTTCATCTGGGCGACCGGCATTCTCAACATCGTTTTCGCCCTCGCAACGGGAATTTACTACATCGCGCGCAAGCAATATGGAGGTGGAATTGTATTCCTCGTCTTCGGTGTCTTCGCAATCGTCTGTTTCATCAGCTGGATTCCGCGTATCCCCTTCACTGCTTTCATGCTACAGACTGCCATGGATGTAGCCCGCGGCTACGGACATATCTTCCTAGTCAGCGCGATCGGTGGAATCGTCTCAGCCGCTTTCGCCGCCTGGTTCTCCGTCACGACGGTCTCAATCTACGTAGCCTACGAACCCGATTCCACTGGCACCAACCCATCCTGCGCGAACGGCGGCTGCAGCAGAGCCAAGGTCATCGGCCTTGTCGTCTACGTCACCTTCGCCATGTACTGGGTCAGTGAGTGGATCAAGAACACCGTGCATACCACTATTGCGGGTGTCTACGGCTCGTGGTACTTCTTCAGCAAGTCCGCCGGCGGCATGCCCAAGGGCTCGACCCGTGGTGCCTTCCGTCGCGCGACAACATATTCCTTTGGCAGTATCAGTTTCGGCAGTCTGATCATCGCAATCATCAACATGTTGCGACAGGCCTGCTCGATCGCGCAACGACAAGAGGCTGGGCAGGGTAACTTGGTTGGCAGTATCTTCATTTGGATCTTGGGATGTTTCATCTCACTGCTGGACTGGCTCATTACTTTCTTCAACCGCTATGCGTTCTGTCACATCGCCTTGTACGGAAAGGCTTACATCCCAGCTGCTAAGGATACCTGGTCCATGATGCGCGACCGAGGAATTGATGCTCTCGTGCAAGACTGTCTGATGGGTCCGGTTTTGACTATGGGCTCGACTTTTGTGGCCTATGTCTGTGCACTGTTGGCCTATCTCTATCTGCAGTTCACAAACCCCGCGTACAACCGGGATGGTGACTTCACTGCGGTCATCATGGCCTTCTCTTTCTTGATTGGTCTGCAGATCTGCCAGATTTTTATGACGCCTATTGGCAGTGGTGTAGAGACTATCTTTGTGGCTATGGGTTGGGATCCACAGGTCATGATCAATGACCACCCGGACATCTACTACAAGCTGGTGCATCTTTACCCTAAGATTCAACAGGCAGTCCACACCTGAGCTATCTGGATCGAGATGGAAGGCAAAAGGTCTCCAAGTTCGATTGCAACGATTCAACCGCTGTCCATAGGTGGAAACCATTCGCTGTTTTCGCCATGTTGATGAATACCTAGCACAGATTCGTGCACTTTAATTAATTCAAAATAGTTCGCGATCAATCACAATGCCGGATAGATTTCATGTATCACTATCACTTGAGTTCCAAACTATCTGAAGTAACATTTCTCAAAAGAATGCTCCAACCCAAACTACTCCCACGAGCCCAAATGACCCCACCCACACTCTTCGCCCTCCAACAAACTTACAAAGCAACCATCACAGCCATTACTGCCGCAACCCCAAGCACCGCAACACCCACATGAACCGAAGCCCCCGCAGCAGCACCCCCCTGGAAAGGCGAGAAACGAGTAGGATCAGCACCAGCTAGCCTAGCCGAAGGCGTCGCCGCAGAAGCTTGCGGTCCGAACATCACTGACGACGGTGCACTACCCATAATTCCATGCCTACGACCAGCCGGCGTCGACGCCGCCGCTGGTACAGAAGCGAACACACTATGCGCCGGGACATCAACTGGAATCTGCGAGACATGCAAAGGTGCCTGAGAGACAGGCGTGCTCTTGCAGCTGCAATCAGTGCGGGTCTCGGTCACGTAGACGACGTGCAGGGCGGCATCTTCGGGTGCGCCGGCGCGCCTATTGTTGAGCGGCTGCATAGGCTTGCTTGCTTCCCGGGCGGGTGCGGCTTCGCGGTTGCTATCGCTGCTGCACAGGGCTGAGGTCAAGGTGCTTAGGTCCAGACCGGCGCAGGCGGTGACGGAGGAGGTTGTTAGGGTTTCGATGGCAGATTTGTTGGCGCAGAAACATTCTTGTGAGGTCTTCGAGGTGCAAGAGGTGAACTTTGATGTGTCAACGCTGCCGAGGGCGGCGCTCTGAAGGGAAGGGGGGTGGTTTATTAGCTTTGCCTATGGGATTTTTTTTTTTTTCGGGTTGGGCTTGGGTTCTTACGGCGCACTTGAGGTAGTCTTCGGTTGATTGAGCTAGAGTGCCGGCGACGAGAACTGTGGCGGTGATGAACCAACGCATTTTGGATGTCGTGTGATTTTTGTTAATTTTTTGTACGAGATTTTGGGAAGAAGAGATCCTAGAAAGGAAGTCTGATGTAGAGTACAACAAAGTTATACAATGACCACCGGCCGGGTAAGAGATGATGCTTTATGTACATTTCGATTGCCCTATCAGATAATTTTTGGAGCCCAGATTTAATTTGACATCACATCCCTTCATCCCTTTATAGGTGGGGGGTAAGGAGGGTTCTAACGTTCAAGAATTCTGACGGTGGATAGTTTCCTATGTAGCCACGGTGCTCGACCTCAGAGATAAGCTTCGGATCTCATTTTTGTCTGATACCTGCGAATATCATGTACTTTTGATTCCCGGTTTATCGCGATGGAATGACGGAAGAATGTGCCAGCGGCCACGTCCCTGTGGCGTTCCTGACTTATCCCTAGGTCCCTTATGCTCCGAGGAATGTTGGGTTAAAGATAAATTGACATTCTCATTTTTGCTTTTCATGAATCTTCATTCTACGAAAGAAAGGAATTTCGCCATTGAGTAGAAAGGGGATCCAAATTTCACGCCTATAGTAGAACTCGATACTGAGTTAGGGCTATGACGACAGTCGCATGTTGAGGTAGAAAGTACCATCACTTCGAAGAATCGGACTTCTAACACTCAGACGTCTACCATTCGCTATCTAGGCTTTCTAAAGTTCTTTGGTACTTGGAAATCAGCATTTTCTTGTTTCATCCCTAATGTGCTTCATTCTGTAAAGATTCAACGGACAACTAACGTGTTAGACCCGGAATAGTCATTAGGGACTCAAGGAGGATCCAATTTGAAGACCAAAAGTTGCAGCTATCTAACTGGGTATCACATTACTAGAATGCTCATTAATGTCCTAGTGTTTAAAATTGGTCGCTGCGGTTCCACTCTGTGGTAGTATTTTGTCGCTAAAAAATAGCAAATTTGCATAACGTGATTTTTTCTTGAACAATGAGCCTTGTAATTCATTCGATCTAACCTCACTGTCCTGCGATTGCTTTCTCCATGGCCTTCGCCCCTCTCTATGTGCCAATTCCTTCAGAATTCCCTCCTTCGCAAAGCAACTGTAGCAAGATGCACCCTTCTCAATCTTCCGTTGATGATATTTGAGTAAAGGGGTGTTCATACTCCATAGCAGATTACATATATCCCAAGGCAGATTACATATATCCCAAGGCAGATTACATATATCCCAAGGTAGATTACATATATCCCAAGGCAGATCCTTTGAAGTTGTGGCCTCAGAAGCTGATGAGTCAGGTAGATAAATTTGCGGACGTCTTCTTTTGGATGAGAATGCTGGGAGCAGTTCCGGGGGCCGTTTTAGTGATGGGAGATCCAGGCGTGAACACCATTGAGAACCGTCAGGTGAAGTTTGATTTCCCGAACGAAAGGTCTTCGGATGATGATCCGCGATTTGTACTTGGGACAGGATTTTGAAAATCAGTTCTTCATCTTCGTCAGCTTTGTAGAAACCGGGGGCGATAGGAACATTTCCTAATTCCCAAAGGATGGATGTCTGCACTAGTGGAGTCACGGGTCGTAAGATTTTGTAGGCAATTGGTTCACTCGATGGCTTAGAGACAAGCATGGTAGAGGTAGGATGATAGAGATCTTTCAGCGGCCAAGCCGCAGCGGGAGCGAGCTTGGAATCTGAAATGCTTCTCTTAATCAATTCGAAATGGGAGTGAGTTTGAAAAAAAGAACGAACTGGACTCAGTTCGTTCTTTTGGGAGACCGAGTGACAGACAACATATTGACAGAAACTTTGGTGAAACGGGAGAACGAAGATTCTTCAGAAATGGAGGCCTAAAGAGGGCTATCAAAAGTAGTTCATAAACAAACACGTAGTTTTTGGTGGATCAAATACTCCATTAGATGTAGCCTGGGCAAGCAACTCACAAAGTCCACATATCTCCAGTGATGTCAAAATCGATTTGGGGTGGAGGGAACAGGGCTCGTGACGATGATTAGGAGGACCAGGAGGGTATACTTAGCTGGTGTTTTTAGAACGTCCTTTTTAACTTGCAATAATCTTCACATCTCATCACTCCAGGAATTAGGTAAGTCCCAACATTGTGCTGTATAAAACGCAAACGAGAACCTCCGTCAAAGAACTACTATGTATTTCTAACACGTGCTGCTATGATGGTCATAACAAACTACCTCAGACATCGTTAACCATTGGATATAGAAGATAACAAGTTGCCGTTGCTGCTGAAGGTGGAACCCCCGGTTAAATCATAAGGGAAATCAGGTAACTCATTTCATAACACTCATTGCCGCGAAGAACTATCACAGTGGGTATAACTCAACATCCAAACCACCAACCTGATCGCTTCCAAGTTCAATATAAAAGAAAAACCAAAGTAACCAACTTATCCAGAAATTGACAAGTCGCAAACTCAGAACTTCTCACCGGTCACACACCGCGTCGAATTGACCAAGAACCAAGCCAAAACCTTCACCATGAGTGCCAATCCCTTCACAATCAAGTCGAAACCAAAGAACAATACACGCAAGATAGTGCGAGTAATTCCAGGTAGCTTCTCCCCCTCTCGGGACGAACCGTTGCCATATCGACCATACTTCTCCAAATCAAACTCCTCAACCGTAATCTGCTGTTTCATAATCTCCTTTGAGCCCCGAGGATTTTCCAGAGGTTTGGAAGATGACTTCTTCCAGAACTTGCAAACTCTCTTCTTCCCCGAAGCCTCTTTGGAAATTTTCTGTGCAGATTCAATCTGCGATGCCAAGTTCTTGCTCTCTGCCGCGTCTTCACACTCAGCAGCCGTCGTCACCAATTTACCCTGGAGCACAGGCATTGAGTAAGGCCCCGGACTGTCGAAAGTGAGTGGTCTGGATATTATTGGTGATCCAAGCACCATCTCTGCCAGGATCGGGTTCGTGGCTTCGTCTGAGACGGCAACTGCCATCAGAGCAGCGATGAGAGAATCAATCGCGTAAAGAGAGGGAATGCTAGCTATAACACCAGCCGGGGAAATTGAAAATGTTTTGGTAGCGAAGTCCAAGGACGCAAGTGGCTCTTCAAAGTCCGTGACCGGGAGCACGGATGTGCGCAGATTAGCAGCTTGCTGAGCGGCTTCCATTGCCGTAGAAGAGACCGGGCCAGTGACGATGATTGTTGGCGGCTGGTGAAGAGAGGTATTACCCGACGGTGCAGAGACCGTGATGTGCACCATCCCTGAAGATTGGGATCGAACGGGTGAAAGTGGGATTCCAACGGCACCGACAAGAGCGGGTGGGTTGTGTCTGGAGAGATAGGGGTGTCGTAGCTCGTACAGTCGTTTATGGCGGTCCCATGAGAGTCGGCAGGAGTCTTGTGCTGCGGCGCGTTTGAGTGCATCGGTTTCTACTTCTGCTGTCTCGGCGGGAGTTAGGTGGTGTTGCTTGCTGATCTCGCCGGCTTGGTCTATGGCTAACATGGCGGCTAGTCGAGAGAAAACTAGGGTTACGAGTCCGTCGTTAGGATGCTCGCGGCGGATGCGGTCTTCGAGGCTCATCATCATGATTGAGACTTCGTGGTTTGGTCTGGAAGGATCGCATCGACTTAGGGCTATTTCGTTGGTTGAAAATGTTTGTAGTGTGTACAGCGGGTTCTGGGAGTTTCCAAGAGTGAATGTAGCTGGTCCCGTCCTGTGAGAGGTAAGTATTGGCAAATTGCCTACTTGGATGGCATGAAATCTTACTTTGTCATGCGTAGGTTCAATGTCCCAACAAGATCTCGCGTTCTCTGGCCGTTGGCCGTTTCCCATAGCATCTTTAGTTCCTCCGTGGACGAATATGTAATCTCCTCGGACTCCAAAGCCCCAGTTGGGAAGTTGAGCACACTCGCAGGCACAGTCTTTGGCCCTAGAACATGGTCAATCTCAGTATCTGTCGACAGCGTAAGCTGGGGAGGTTTTCGGAAAGACTTGACGGGCCGTGAGGCATCTGGAAGTTGTGGATGATACACTTGCTGATTGAGAGGCAATTTTGGATCGAACCGGGGGGAAATTGATCTCATCGAGACCAAAGCAGCAGAGGATTGCGATGACTGCGGAGAAATAGTTGACGCCGTAGTGTGATGACTGCTACTGCTGCTTTGACTAGCATGTGAAGGCAAGAGTTGCTGGTTCACTCTTTTGGCTTGGCGATTCGGACTGTGCATGAACTGGGGGTATGTTGAATCACAAGACGCTCCCACTATAGCCGGCGGGGATTTGGATCTAGAAGCATTCCCCGGTGGTGGAGGTGGGATTCCCCGACTGTCTTCGATAATCTGAAGCAGCAAGGATTCCGTCTTGCCCGGATCCCTGAACTCTTCAAGAGGGATCGAGGATTCTGGCTCAGTGGTGGCTATAGGTTTCTTCCCATTTACGCGAAATGGATTGTTAGACCTCTTTACCTCGAGTGACTGAGGTGGGAATAATTGAAATTGATTCATCTTGTTCTTCATCTTCTCAGATAGAGTATGCTATAAACAAAGACAGGACGTGGAAGCAGGGGGTCTTGACGGAGATATACCCCATCCTCACCGAATATGCACATAAGCCCAACAGAACAAGCAGAGTACATGGTTTGTCGAGATGTGTGACAACCCTACTTGTACGGTGGGCGCTTAGCCGATTGGCGATGTGATTGGTTTATCCTGAGATGGGCACGTCCATCTGCAGTAGCGGGCGCTTCATTGCAGCATTGTGATTGGTTTTTGAAGCACGAGAAATCTAAATTTATCGTAATTCAAAGATTCCTTTGGCTGGTCGTTTTCGAAGTGAAGAAGTCGAGGAGAAAGCTCATTTGATCCCGGTGACCCTGGTTTCTGCACACTTGGTCTGTCGGCCCCGGACTCGCTAAATGGATAAATCCAAGAAAAGATGACAAAATTTTACGGCTGATTTGGTGCATTGGTTAAAATCTTTAGAAGCGCTTGTTCGTTGTTGTTACATTGCACAGCTTTAAATCTCATGTCTATTTCGCCACCCGGTTGCCGAAAAGCGTTCTTGGATGCTTTGAGGGATTGGATATACCACATTTGCCACAGGTCGGTCTTGAAGTAAATGCATGTGGTGTAGAATTACTGTAGAATGCAATGCAATTGAAAGCTCTTCGTTCTTTCTCGTACAACTGGAGAAATTTACATGAGACAATTTACATGGTAGAGCCCTCCAACTCCTCCAAGCGGTGCATATCCATATCCTTCTCCAACAAAGGAATCACGTAGGGGTCGAAAGTCTTCCAGTAAGGGTTGTTGAGGTGGTACTCCTGCGAGGATTCCTGGACGTAACGCTCAACGATGGTGAAGTCCTGCTTGTCGAAAACGGACTGCATGACGAACCAAGAGAGAGTTTCCTTGTCGTTCGAGTAGACATTGGAGGCTTCGACAAGCTTAGCCTTGAGCTTGGAGATGGACTCTTCGTCCGGCTTGGCACGGAGATCTACTGCTGTTAGCGTGAGAAACAGGAAGGGTAGGGGTTGTCACATACGAACGACGATTGTGTAAACCATGATGTTGAGGATGCGGGGATGGATAATGGAGGGGGAAGTGAGGGGCGATGGTCGTAAGACATTTATATATTCAAGCACTAAAAATACTTCTGACACAATTCGATCAGTCATCGGTGAGAGAAACGATCTTTTCATGGTGGATCCGGTGTAAATCCCCGAGGTTTACCCTTTGCGATCCCGGCTTCGGCACATAAAGCTTATTTCTCTATGCATTGAAAGATGCATAGCTTATGCAGTTAATTCACATGGATTTCTATGTAGTTTGAATGATCTTATTTACAGGATAGTATACATTTACTCATTTCTCCCTTGGTCTTGACCCACGGCCTCAGTGTGCACGCTGTGTGTCAGACCCTCCGCCATGGAAATCGCACCTTCCATGTCACCCTTGTTGTATAAGAATAAGCCTTGGAGAGCAGCTGCGCTAGTATTGATAGTCCGATCAGCCTTGTGGCCCGATTCATCTTCAATCAAGCCAAGCTCTTGAAGCCGCCCCAAGAAAAGTTTGCGATAAGTTCCATCGGTATCGACTTCTTCATAGAATCGGTCCCAGAGGCAACCGACCTGATAACGAGTCAATTCGCCTAAACGGACAGTCATATCCACCCGGCCGGGACGGACCAACGCCTCATCGAGTCGTTCAACGTGGTTAGTAGTAAGGAAAATGATGCGCTCCTCTGCACTGGCAACTCCGTCAAGTGCATTGAGCAGGCCCGAGAAAGTTACATTGGCCCCGCGGTAGCCATCTGCGTCGCTTTGCTCGCGTCGGTTCGAGAATGCAGCATCCACATCTTCCAACAGAACTAGCGTTCGGTTGGGAACAATTGTGAGCAAATGATTTAACCGGTCATCGGTTAAGCCGCGCTCGCTCAGGTTCAGAATTGCAATGTCGTAATCCAACTCGCCCGCCAGTGCCTGGATAAAAGAGCTCTTGCCGGTCCCCGGAGGACCGTACAAGAGATATCCTCGTCGGTATGGAATCCCACGGTCATGATACCAGGATGAACTTGAAATGAAGTCTTCCACATCTGCCATAACCCGTTCCTTGACTCCCTCGTGGAGAACAACCGACTCCAATGGACGCTTCCGGCGTGGATTTCCAAACGGTTTCCACTCGGTACCCCAGCTGTTATAGATTGTCGTTTTGCCTTCGTGGCCCTTTGCGGCGTATGCATGAGCTTCGGTAAAGAGATCTTCAAAGATGTGGCGTTGGGAGTAGAGGGTGGTAAGGGTGATTGTCTCCCACGGCTTTCCGGTTTGAATGTCGCGAGACTTCGATTCGCGCATACGGTTGACGAAGACAAACGCATTCTTATACCGCAAAACGTGTTTTCCAGGCCCCGGAATCAGCGAAAAGTGTGTGTGAATTGCTCCGTTCGAATGTTCGATCTTCTGCGTTTGAATGGAGAGGTGGCGCATGCCGGGCGTGAGCTTTTGGAGAAATCGGTCCATGTAGGTGGAGGTATTCGCTGCAGCTTTACCCGCATTGAGTTGTGATTGTTGGTAAAGAGTCATCCAGTGTAAGAACCACGGGTAGGAGTCATCTTTGATGCTGATCTCGACGTCCACCAACATCCGCCGGCGGAGAAGAGCGGCGCCATGTCGAACGCCTTTCTGTGCTAGAGTCAACCCTGCCCCGAGACCTGCAAGGCCGAATCCCTGCCAAGAACAAAAACGTTAGCACATCGTTCCGGGTCGAAATTCTGGTAGGTCTCATACGGCTGTGAACAAGGGATTGCTTGTGAGCTGCGAGAAGAGACTTCCGTCGCCTTTTTGCGCCGACTGTAGTGCCTGTGTTCTCTGCTGCAGAATCAGGTCGCCCGCAGATGGCGCAGCACTAGGGACCGCATTTGGCTCCATACCAAATCAACAGTGTCGTGAAGATCATGAATGTCGAGAAGATCGATAAGCGCAGATATCGGAGTTTTAAACGGGCCGAGTTTTTGATATACCCACGGTCATGCCACAGGGCAATCCATGGGAGAATCAACGGATGAGAAGATCTAGCAGAAATGTAGCCTTCTAAAGGTTGGAATTTACAACAATATGACATATCTCCAAGCTTTAAATATGGGGATAGATGACTTCGCACTACGGTAATCTCGGTGCTCACAATGGTCGGTAATGGCCCCATGTCGGAGATATCGTAGGTCGGAGGTATCGGAATTAAAAGACCTGCGTGCAGCTCGCATTCCTCTCCCCAAACGCCTTCGTATTCTGTGTCCGGACGAGGGGGCTGTGTCCAAAAAGCCTTAAACTCCCATGCGACCTCTTTTCCGTCCCCCGTTTACTCGGCGGGCACAGTCTCGACGCGTTATTCATCTAGCAATCCGCAACATGAGCACTCCAACCACTGCTGCAGTGCTATATGCGCTGACCGTGGCGAAATCCCCGGCTAAGCCTGGCCCAGAAGATGTTTTGGAGAAAAGCCATCATGCAAAAAGTGGATTCCAAAACCCGTGGGAGTAAGTGAGGCTCTGTGACTTGCTGGGCTCTCGATCGTATGTCGCACAGGCTAACCATCAACGCTGCAGATCTTTCCGCGATATGGATTCGAAAGATATCATGCAACTGACGATGTAGGTGATTGTCGACTATCTAAGCAACCCACTCTTTAACGCGTGAAACTTCAGCCTTCGTCGATTGAACGGCAAAGCGAACATTCCTGATACCACTCTGCCAACAGTTGCCGTTCGCAAGCCCGAATTTCTTCCCAGCCGAGAGACTCCCAAGCTGCGCGCAACTTGGCTTGGACATGCATGCTATTATGTGGAGTTCCCAAGCGGCCTCAGAGTATTATTTGACCCAGTGTTTGAAGCGCGTTGTGGCCCACTCTGCGGACCGTATTCGCTAGGTCCGAAGCGCTTTACTGAGCCTGCGTGTCAAGTTAGTGATATCCCTGTCATCGATGCGGTGGTCATCTCCCACAATCACTACGACCATCTATCTTATCCAACTATCTTAAAAATCGCGAAAAGACATCCCAACTGCCACTTCTTCGCGCCACTAGGCAACAAGTCTTGGTTCCACAATTCAGGCATCCAGAATGTAACCGAGCTGGATTGGTGGGATGAGAGTGATATTGCAATGTCACCCACAGAGGGAATGAACCCCCAGGTTGAACCAGCGGGCAAATCCTCTACCACGGCAGAGATCAAGGCGCGCATCAGTTGCCTGCCTTGTCAGCATGTTACTGCCCGCAGTCCTTTCGACAAATACAAGACCCTTTGGGCTTCCTGGGCCATTGAGTCTGGTGGTAGCAAGGTCTATTTTGCTGGGTAATATAAGCTCCCTGGGACCATCCACGTCATCGGATTGCCTTGCTGACCTCCAATCTAGTGATACCGGTTACAGAGCAGTGGATGAGCTACCAGAAGGGGAGGATGATTGGGACCCCAAGTACAATTTCCCCATATGCCCTGCTTTTAAGCAGGTCGGTGAGTTCCGGGGACCATTTGATCTTGGCTTGATCCCCATTGGCGCATATGCTCCTCGTCATATTTTCAGTCCAGCACACTCTGACCCCCATGATGCCGTTCGTATCTTCAAAGACACCAAGTGCAAACAGGCACTGGGCATGCACTGGGGCACTTGGGTACTTACTGAGGAGGATGTGCTTGAACCTCCTAAGAAGCTAAAGGAAGCGCTGAAAAAACATGATCTTGCGGAGAATGGTGTTTTTGATGTTTGTGAGATTGGTGAGAGCCGGGAGTTCTGAACAAGCCCCGTACAAAACTTTCATAGCCTCTGTCAGCCCATTTTAATCCTTGCTTTTTGTTTGTATGACTTTGTATCCGAACTTTACTGTTCATCCAAGAGTGGACTAACCCTATATACGATTTTGATTCCTATCTTTTTTTGTCGTCATTTTTTGCCACCTAAATCCAAAGAGAATTCTCATCGTTAATCAACGTTCCTTCCTTGACTTTTTCATGACCTTGACAGGAAAGATCCTAGCGCGGTGATGGGTAGCCAGTCTGCTACAAGATAGCATCTGGAGCCTCCAACTTTGATTCTGTTTTTTTTTTGGGCCCGGAGCCTTTGAAAGACTCCCCTTGAGGGTAAAATCACAAAATTCTTTTAAGCCCAAAATTGCGAGTCTACCATGGGTGCCATCCCTTCCGCTTGTTGAAAGCCCTTAGAGTGTCCTAGATTGGGCATCCAAGTTGAGTGATAACGATTAAAACATAACTGGGAACTGTATGTGCTTTTCTGGAGAGCGAAACCAACCCATGGGTCAAGTCAAAGTGACCTTTATGATCCACTACAGTCCATGCTTCTGGGAGGATCACGATCAAAAAAATGAGACCTTCAGTCTATGCTTACTGGTATCAATTCATTATCTGGCCTCTCAATATCAAAGCTTCCTGCACCAGGCTGTAACTTGTCTTGAGCTTTAGGGGCGAGCCTCACGATGCTAGCCTATCTGCAACAGTTGAGTCTGACAGACAACTTTGCTATTAACAAAACCTTTGTTGCTACATAGAAAACAGAAGTGCAGAAAAATTCAGTACCAGAACAATTCAGGTAAAAAGGACCACTCAAGTTACAACTTCAACATCATGTTCTTCGGCAAAGCAAAGGCAAGACACGGCGAGTGAGTTCATCCATCTGCACAGCGATCTAGAGGTGACGGCAGTTTCTATCTGAGATTTTTAGTGTCAGAAAACAAATCAATTGAGGACCTGTTTTTCCAATGTGCACACTTTCACCGTGCCTTCACTAAGCCTTGATGTCAAACCTCAAATACGGCCCCCTAGGCCATAAACAGGAACCTTGGTTTTTGTTATGGTCCAGTGGAAAAGTACGCTGTATTTCGTTCAACACTTGACCTTGTGACTGATCGCGACATGCAGCATGTTGTCCCTATGTTAAGGCCGTGAACTTTTACTTTCGTTGACCATCTACATATCTTTATTGTAAATCTTTCTGAACTGCCTTCCAATAACTCAGCAAGCTCTCTTTTATCTGCCTTCTCGATAATCGAGAGGCACTTCATCAAGACACCTTTTTACATCAACCTCAACATATTCTGCATTGAAAACTATTGGCAGACCTGCAGCGGCACTATCATACTATCCTTTAGCGGTTCAGCATATTCTCATCTCGGGTCAATGTTACTGCACATCCGCTACATTCGGAATCATGGAACGGGCAAGATAGGCCATCGACACCACCTGAGCAGACCAGCTTGGTTTGGGTACTTGGGAACATTCCAGTTTCTCCTAGCTTCAAAATTAGTCCCGAGGACTCAGTTTGTCCTGATTTGTTGGAAGTCCGGCGTACTTATCCCGCGAGGAATTCCCCACGGCCAATCAAGCAGATCTCGCTCCAACAAAGACCAACTCCGATAATTTCCCAAAAGAAAAGCCCTCAGATACTGTTGCCAGCATTCTCACCGGTGAGATAAGGCCACCATATACATTCAAAGACATCTCCAAATGTTCGCCGACGAAAGAGAAAATGTGAGGCTGCTATCCCTAGTCATTGAAGGAAGAGACGCGCAAAGCCCATATTCGGCGAGGACAAACCTCCTGGAACTAAAATCAATCCAAATAGCGATGAAAAAACAAGACACATGAAACTCAAAGCCAGAGATAAGAAACAACGGACCGAGGACGCAGATGGAACGAATGCGACATTTGCAGATTAATCTTCATGGTCGTGTCAAGAATAGTCCATGACTCAAAGCTGGTGCTAATATGCTGCCTTAGATGAATCGCTTCATTCTTCACATTGAATCTTATCTAGCTCATCATCTGAAGCCTCTCAATCAATCTTGGTAACGCAGCCGCTTGGTATGCTGATGTCGGAGATGGCGGTTCTCTAATGCTGACCTTCTTTTTGCAACATAACATATCTCAAAAGGCTTTCAAATCAGTAGAGCAACAAACAATGATATAGACCATCTGGTGACTTGACATCTTGAACTACAGCTTGGTAGAAAGTTGGAGATGTTTGCCAGGTTTGTCAGGAAAACACACTAGCCGTTTATGGACTAGTCCAAGGGAGCTCCCACTTCGCCTGGAAATTTGATGGAATGCGGGCGAACAGCGTTGAAGTTGAAACTCTTAAATTGTCATCTTCGTGCAATATTTTTTTGATATTCACAAGTGATAAAGGCTGCTTTATATCCAATTTCCACCAAACCTACAACAAAACACCGCCAATATGCAGGCTCCGGTGGTGGTGATGAGTAGGTCCCCCCCCCCCATTGAGTTGATCCCCTTAAGTGCTAACAAATCATCCAGACACCAATTCCGGTGAGCGCCAGGTTGGCCGGAAAGCACAGATGTCTAACATTACTGCGGCGAAGACGTACGATATCCCTCGGTCCTCCAGCGGTCTCCCCTGCTCGATGCTAATTCAATAAACACCAGTGTTGCGGATATCATTCGGTCATGTCTCGGACCCAAGGCGATGTTGAAGATGTTGCTTGACCCTATGGGTGGTATTGTTTTGACCAACGATGGCCACGCTATTCTGCGAGAGATCGAAGTGTCGCACCCCGCGGCCAAGAGCATGATTGAGCTCAGCCGTACCCAGGACGAGGAGGTCGGAGATGGTACCACAACGGTCATTATCCTAGGTACGGCAGGATTCATTTCAGGGAACCCGATCCTAAATGCTGATATTTCGTAGCCGGTGAAATGCTCGCCCAGGCCATCCCCCAGCTCGAACGCAACATCCACCCCGTCGTCATTATCCAGGCTTTCAAGCGTGCCCTCGCCGATGCCCTTCAGATCGTGGAGGATGTCTCGACACCCGTCGATGTTCAAGATGACAAGGCCATGTACAGCCTCATCCAGTCCTCCATTGGAACCAAGTTTGTGTCCCGTTGGTCAGAACTCATGTGCAGCCTCGCTTTGCGCGCTGTGCGAACCGTCTCCTTCGATGTCGGCGGTGGAAAGCAGGAAGTTGACATCAAGCGCTACGCCCGTATCGAGAAGGTCCCAGGGGGTCAAATCGAGGACTCTGAGGTGATTGACGGTGTGATGGTCAACAAGGACATCACGCATCCCAAGATGCGTCGCAGAATCGAAAACCCCCGTATTCTTCTCCTGGATTGCCCCCTGGAGTACAAGAAGGGCGAGTCTCAAACCAACATTGAGATTTCCAAAGAGGATGACTGGAACCGAATTCTTCAGATTGAGGAGGAGCAGGTCAAGCACATGTGCGAGGCCATTCTGGCTTTCAAGCCTGACGTTGTTATTACCGAGAAGGGTGTTTCCGGTAAGCAGGTGGTGTGATTCGGGTTATTGATTGTCATGTTCTAACCACCGGGATTTACTAGATCTTGCACAGCACTTCCTGGTGAAGGCCAACGTCACAGCCCTCCGCCGTGTGCGAAAGACTGACAACAACCGTATTGCCCGTGCAAGCGGTGCCACCATCGTTAACCGTGTTGATGACATCCAGGAGTCCGATATCGGTACCGGGTGCGGACTGTTCGAGATTGAGAAGATTGGTGATGAGTACTTCACATTCATGCGCAAGTGCAAGTCCCCGAAGGCCTGCACAATTCTGCTGCGCGGCCCCTCGAAGGATATCCTAAACGAAATCGAGCGCAACTTGCAGGATGCCATGTCCGTTGCTCGCAACGTTATCTTCCACCCTCGTCTGTCTCCTGGTGGTGGTGCAACTGAGATGGCAGTCTCCGTGAAGCTCAGCCAGCTTGCCCGCTCCGTTGAGGGTGTTCAGCAGTGGCCATACAAGGCTGTTGCCGACGCGATGGAGGTCATTCCCCGTACATTGGCCCAGAACGCCGGCGCCAGCCCCATCCGTGTGCTTACCAGCCTCCGTGCCAAGCATGTCGAGGGTCACAACACCTGGGGTCTCGACGGCGAGTCTGGAACCTTGGTTGATATGAAGGAGTACGGCGTCTGGGAGCCCGAAGCCGTCAAGCTTCAGAGCATTAAGACGGCGGTCGAGGTAAGCTTCCTAGTGTTTTTCCTTACGCGTTATATTCCACTAACATACATCTCTCTCTCTCTCTCTCTCTAGTCCGCATGTCTCCTTCTCCGTGTCGACGACATCTGCAGCGGAAAGTCCGCTCAACAGATCGCCAGCGGCGGCGGTGGTGGCGAGGAATGATTGATAGACGAAAAGGAAAAATGATTGGACTCGACGTCCGTACATAATGTTACACGATTTGCCTCATGGCTGTCTTCCTTCTGTATGAATATCCTAGATTAAAAAAAAACCGAATCCAGATGGGTATCTTCGTATCGTACACAGCCAGCATTGGAACCCACCTCCACTAGTCCTCATCATGGATAATCACACCAGGAACTTCCTGCTGGGCCACTTGGCCATCCAAGGCGCCTCCATCCTGGTCGTCTTCCATAGTGGCCATCGAGCCTGGGATAGCTGAGCTCTCCACATGAGCATTTTCGTTCTGATCACTACTACCCTTCTTGCCACGTGCATTCTTCTTCTTCTCCCTCCTCCTTCGATTCTTCTCCGTCTTCTCATCATCCTTGCGCTTCCTCTCCTCCCGCTCCTTTTCCCAAATCTCATTATTCTTCTCGGCATCCACCTCGGACTGCATCATCCGCAGTCGTTCAAACTCCCGCCGCCGACTAGCCTTGTACACATGGAACTCGCCGGAGCCCGCACCGGCCGATGATCCCTGCACATTGGTGACTATCTCCGGCGGTGCCGAGAGCGACGCTACGGTGCGTGGCTTCTGGACTTCCGCTAGGTGCAGGTCTTTACTTGGATCTTTGAAGAGTGTCTGGATCTCGTTGGCGACCTCGGAATGCGGTGTCACGGCACGCCGTTTCGTTGGTCGCTTGCTGCGTGGATCTGCGCTTGTAGGGATGGATTCTGGGCCTGGTTCAGACATTGTGCGGGTGTTGGGTTGAGTAGAGGTGATGCGACCGCGTGGACTCGGTGGGATTTGCGCGAGTGGGAGGAATTGATGTCTTCTCCAATGGGGTAATCTTGGAAGGGGATACCCTTTTGGCACTAGGAGATGTTCACTGTGTGTTTTGTGGGGGTTTGGTTGCTCAAGTACAACGAAAAAGACAACGAAAAAGGCGAGTTGTAGGTGGTGACAAGCTTCAGATGTAGACTTGGGCAACCTTCAACCGTTGAAACATCCTAACCGCATTCGGTTAGCAGTACCAGCACATGGCAGATCGCCGTTTCCAACTCGTTGCTTTGCTTAGCTTGCCTTGTTTACTTTTGTGCTATTTGGGTTGCTGATCATGGATAAAATGCCGTAGTAATGACATACACATTACTCGTTCGGAAATATCATAAGTTTAGAATGCCAATTCTGCACATGGTCCAGTGTGGCACTGTGCTCAACTATTGGATTTTTACGACGGATGCCAGTAGTTTATACACCTGTTTAGCGGATCGTCGGTAAAATTGACGCCTAAAGATCCAGATATTACGATGGCATCGTGCAATCGACCCCCAATTAACATCTCCCGGCCGTGGGAGAGGACGCTTCTGGTCGCATCCTCGTACTGCGAAAATTCCATGTGCTATAATTTGTTGTAGTGTCCTTACCTTGACTGGTTTGATTCGCCACGACTATCATCTTGTCTGCAATCTTGTCTGCAATCACCCTTGGCCATTTTGAGCTCTTTTTGCAGAATTTCGAGGATACAATGTGTTTCTTGGAAGAATATATACTTCAAGAAGGTTTTAACGTAGTTCACTACCGAGTGGTCTAGTGTAGAACATTTGGTAAATGGAATGAATTACAACCTGAAATCTGAACAACGATGGCTTATAGAGACTTCTCCTCGGAGATGTATTCTCAAATTTTTGAACTGATGGTTATATAGCCCTCTACTCTGTTTGAAACTGATTTGTGGTGCTGATGAATCTTATCTTTGACTATCGACCAAAAAGAGCTAGGTTTACAACATGGTTGTTGAGATATCCATGCAGAATAAAATACAATCACTCTATATTTGCCGAACCACTCGGTAGTGAAACACGTCAGTTAGCAAGGTCTGCAATCTCGTGATTGCATACAATGCCATACTGGGTCAGCTTGCCGTGACAAGATCTAAAATTGAATCTCTAAGTCTAGACATCATCTTGGAATTTTTTTCCGCATGCTCTTTTCCACCCTATGTCGAACACGGAATACAGGGAGACGATTCGGATGATTAGATTTCACCCCCTCGCTCCACGCTAACCACTCTAACCCCCCCCCTCCCGAGAGACGATGCGCAAGATTTACTAGGCGTACGGCCTTGTCAGCACCGATCTATGTAGCCTAATCCTATTCATTGCAACACCTTAAGGGGACGAAACATTTTTCCAATTGATGGTATTTAGGAGACTTTCTAAACTAGTGTTACCGTCATCTTCGTCGATTCTTTTTTAACTGCCTTTCGAGTACTAAAGAAGTAATCAACTAGCCAAAATGCCAGACCTTTTTAGATCTAATGCGTTTGATCATTGCACCATTGCAATTTTACCCATTGCATGCAGTGCTTCAAGAATGCTGGTACTGGTCACATCGAGTCTCTCACACAAAGCATGCTTTGTTTACCGCTCTTTTCTGCCGCCTATCGATGTCACTGCGAGCAAATTGTCTGTGAATGTCTTTCACAGACAGATGGAAGGTGACTAACTGAAAAGAGGCGTCAAAAGGCCACAAATACGACTGACGATTCTTGTGCCATATTCACAATCTTAGACAAAACAAACAAAAGAGCTAAGTATACAACCATAATACTTCTGATTGGCTCGAAACTGCCTGTTCAAAAGGAGCACAAAGGGATCTGGTCATTTCTTTGTTCTTCGCGTCTTAAGTCGTGAACAGTGAAAGAGTCCACATCAATGATCACTAACAATTAAGTGACAGAATACTTGCTAACAGCTGTCCATATTAAACATTGTGCTGTTTCCCATTCATTTCGCTCTTACAATAACCCCACTTGGCGAACTAGTCTATTTTCGGACTATCATTCACGGTTCACTTTGAGCCAACGGGTTTCAGTTTCTTTGTTCATCTCTTGGGTTACTAGTGAACCTACACAGATCTATGTGCTGGTACCACAACCTTCATTTCACTTCACCCATCGTTAACCTCAAACTTGCATTTTCTTTTTCTTCCACTTGCAGATTGACCACTACCACTCAAAATGCCATACCGTTTTGGTAAGTGACCTCATGTTGTGTTTTCATGTCTTCCTACGGGTGTTCCCATGGTCAATGGATGCATGTCTATTGCGAGTGAGAATGCTTGGTTGCACAACTTGAAATGTGACGTTGTGCCCTAGTTCACATACTTCGATGTCTATCTGGCGTTTCCAATAAAAACCCAACTTCCCATAATCCTAAGAAGCTTTAACAGCCTTCATGAGATCACTGCTGATTCCAGGGTCAGAGATTGCTGCACAAGGCCGTGCTGGCTGCAAAGCCCCCGATTGTCTCAAAGAGAAGCTCAAGATCGTCAAGGGTGAACTCCGTGTCGGTACCTGGATGGATGGTAAGTCCTTCCAGGCCTGGTATTGGCGCCACTGGTGAGTTATGCTTGGTAGAGATACGCGCATGGTGGCCTCAGTATCAATCATGGCCTCTATTAGCGTCCAACACTAAACCTTTCTAGGGGTTGCTTCACCCCGAAGCAAATTGCCAACCTCAAGAATGAAATCACCGGGCTGTCTGTTGAGCCTGATTTCTCTCGTATTGATGGCTTTGATGAGATCAGCGAGGAGGTCCAGGAGAAGATTCGCAAGGCCATCGAAGAGGGTCATGTCGAAGATGACGAATGGCGAGGTGTAAGTTCACTTTCCTTGAAATAGGGTCCAAAGACCGCAGATCAATCGACTAAAACTTCCTAGGAAGTTGAATACAACCGCCCTGGACATGTCGGCATGCGCAAGAAGACTCGCAAGGCCAAGGCCAAGGCCGATGAGGTGTGTGGACGACGGTCTTTTATCTTCATGTCATGGGAGATACTAATCTCCACCCCAGTCCGAGGAAGCTGAGCAGTCCTCTGCCGCCAAGAAGCATGAGCTGACCGACTCCGAGAATGTGGATGAGGAACCAGCCAAGAAGAAGCAAATCCGTGGCACGAAAGTTGCCGACGATGATGATGATGCAATTGCGGGTGCCGCCGTTGCCGACACTGAGTCCAAGAAGCCCAAGAAGCGTGGTCCTCGCGCCAAGAAAATGCCTGAAGACCAAGCTGCCGCCCAACCTGATGTCAAGATCGAGCGTAAAAAGCCTGGCCGTCCCCCACGGAAGGTTTCTGAAGATGAAGGCGCCGAGGCTGACACTGAGATGACCACCGAGCCCAAGAAGCGTGATACCCGTGGCAAGAAGATCACTAAAGATAAAAGTACCTCTGCCAATGTCAAACCCAAGAAGGAAGCCACCAAGCATGAAGCCACCAAGCATGCCACTCGTGGTAAGAACGTCACTACCTCCGCTGTCAACAAGGAGTCTGAAGAGGTCGATCCTACAATTGAGGATCAGCCAACCAAGAAGGCGCCCGCAACCCGTGCAACACGTGGAAAAAAGGTTGGGAAGAAGGATGTTTCCCTCGCCGCCAATGACGCTTCATCTATCGATAACGAGACTGCTGTTGTAATCAAACCCAAGAAGCGTGCCACTCGTGCAACTCGTGGCAAGAATGATGTGAACACCGATGTTTCTCCCGTCAAGAAGGGTGTCTCCTCTGCCGACAACGAGACTGGCCCCGCCAGTGGCGAAACCAAGAAGTCTATCCCTCGTGTCAAGGCTGTCAATGTCACAAACGCCAAAAATGGCGTGAATACCGCTAAGGATGACCACTCTGATGAACCGACTGAGAAACCCAAGGGCACTCGTGGTGCCAACAACAAGACTAACGCCAACAATGCTATCTCTGAAAATAAGCCCGCTGCCGATAAAGTTGCTGAAACACCTGACGCTACCAAGGAGAAGCCCAAGGCCAATGGCACCGATGCTGCCAACGATAAGCACGCCAATGAACCAATTGAGAAGCCCAAGCGCACGCGCGGAGCCAGCAACAAGACTATCGTCGACAGTGCTACTTCTGAGAACAAGCCCAAGCCAACTCGCAGCCGCAAGCCAGCAGCCGCGAAGGTCACCAATGAGTCCGCTGACCAGGCTGACAAGGAGCCTACCGAGACTTCCACTGAGAAATCCGTTGACGGCACCGCCGTGAAGTCCGACGACGCCCCTGAGAATCATTCCACCGAAACTCCCGATAAGCCCACTGTCCAGCTTGTGGAGAAGTCTGGTGAGGGCCCTACCGAGGAGCCCCGTGAGCCAACTCTGACCGAAATGAAGGCAGAGACGACTAATGGCGATGACTTCTAAACTCATCTGCCCTTCTTGCCAGTCCACCTCATAAGGTGTGGAGCATCCTGCACTCTTGTGAAGTGTGCAATACCAACTCTTCGTTTTCATTTTCTTTGCGTTCCCACTGGTCTTTTACCATCGGGTCATTTTGTGTTTCTTTCCACTCTGTACGAACAACCCCGATGAATGCCGGTTGGAAGTCTCCACTTTGCGTTCATTTCAATTCTTCAACTGGTTTTCGTCTTGTTTTTCCTCCGGGCGTGAGATTCGGTTTCCCTTAGCGATGGCTGGCTTGCACAGGTGCACGGTCATATTTCATGCTTTTCTGGGTAGTTCTCACTATCAATTAGCCTGCGAGTTGATATATTGAATGTGATTGTTTTACAAAAGAATGACTTTCAGCAAAACGCCTTGTGCCAAGGCGTTTTCTTCAGTCGGGTTTCTTGGGAAGGTGACTTCAAAGATGAGCACTAGTACGATGCTCTTATAGGTATAGCCTTCGAAAATCACGCTTCATGCGGCCGTTCGCCGACAGTCACGTCTAAAAGGATATGGCTATGAGAATCAGAGAAAAAAAAAATCCGTTGAATAAGAACACCTGCCCTAAGAGAAGCTAAATTTGAGCTTACACGGTCTCCCTCCCCATCCCCCACCCCACGACGGATCGAAGAAAACCCCTTGAAATTCTTCTCCAGTGCAAGATGAAATGATAGGTAACTCCGAAATGAAAAATGGCCAAAAAAAAAAGGAATCAAAACGCAGCATTATTAAGAATTGCAATGATCCGAGATTGAAACGGTAGAAAACGATAAAGAAACATGCAAGGGAAGATGAGAAACACCCTGGGCTCAATACACATTTGAGGCAATTTTATGAGCTCTCTGCGCTGTTCCAACTCAATTGGACTGCACATCATAGATTTCCCAGACCGCGGCTCTCAAGGAGCGCACGGGTATTGCCATACAACTCGGGGTTATGAATGTGAGCTAGCGTTCGAAGATTGAGAACTTTGTTTTGAAGCCTCGGATGGGCTCGCAACAATGACCAGAACTGATCGTTGGCATTGTATGTGAGCAAATCAGAGGCCTCAGCAATGAAGTGGATGAACCATGACTGGAGGTAATCACAGTCCGCTTCATCAAACTCTGTATGACCGGCAAAAGCAAGAGAAGCGACCTCCAAGAGGGGTTTGGATTGGTATAGCTCTGGGTAGCAGTTCCAGGTGACTTGGAGCTTGAAGGCAATTCGATAGACCAAATCCATCAGGCCGAAACGGCGGGCTTGGAGATACACTCTCCCGAGGACAATGATGGCATTTTCCAGATCTAGGCTGTTGCTCACGCCGTTCAGTTTGAAGTTCTGACCAATTCCCATTTGGTCGCCGACAAGGCGGAACATGGTGCCATTATTTGAATCGAGGGCTGGGAATGGAGTAGGATGAGAGAAACCTGAGTTTTTGAGCGTGATGAGTCGAGGAGGAAATTCTCCATCAGCCAAGTATTCGCGAATCTGTATCCGTTCGGGCTGTCTTTCAAGGTCCACAGCACCCAGGAACACATCGGTTATCTTGGTAGCATCGCGCTGATTCAGGAAGATAGTGTTCAGAGCCTGACTGAGGGTCAAATCGTAGATGGAGAACTCTGGAATGGGTTGCTGGGATGCCACGTCTGCACCATCGACACTTGCACAAGCACTATTGATTTAGAATTTTATTGGTCAGTGGTGCGGATTTAGAATTTCCATCAGAAGTTGACTAACCTAGTATCATTTTCAACCTTAGGTACCGAGCTTTGAGTCATCGAATTTGGTAGGGCATTTCTTGTCGATGCGGTTGGAAGAGAAAAAGAAGAAGTGGGTGATATCAGAAGGGGGCATGGATGGAATTTCCGGGTCATTTCCATACTAGAGTTCTCTCTGTCTGCAAAGGGTATGGATTCAGATACAGATGCAGCGAAATGAGCATCTTGGAACAAGCTCAATGTCTGTCTAAATTGGACGCCCTGTTCAGGATGCGGGTCAGAAAATGACCTGATCGTTGCTTGCTGATTAGATGAGGTAGGTGCAACATAAGCAGTAGGCTCCCCGTAATATGATAGTGCCTCCTGATGTTCATCTTCCGCGTCATCTTTATTTTCATCTTCCTGCTCGGACTCGGAGTCTCCCTGGATTTCCCCACAGGATACAAGGCCCTCATGGCCACTAGGTAAGACGAGACGGAGATCCTTACCTCGGTTTCCCTTGGTGCCTAGTGCCTGGAGAGACATGTTCTTCCAGAACTCCAGCCCTGGCTCGGTCCGGATGATTTCCACAAGATCGTCCCAGATCTTGGCATCTGGTTCTCTCTGGGCGAGCCGAAGAACGTTGATAGACTTTTCGTTGAGTATATAGAGATTCTGGAGCCCAGCCCGTTTGCTTCATACATATTAGTGTTAACCTCAATTTCGTATAGATCAATAAGCAGACAAAGTTTCAGAAAATAACCCATTGGTTGATCACAAGCATAACCAAAAGCCAACGGGCTCATAGATACATCAACTAACACATAACTTTGGGGGTCTTTTTTGATTGCAAAAAAGGAGAGTAAACTTACTACATATTGCGCCCTGGAAGATACATTGAGTACACACGGTCTTTCAGGTGCGTCAGCCAGGCACCCACGGCTGAGTGGGCACCCACAGGGCGGCGATTTATGTGTCGGCTTGGTCCGAATTTTTCAGGCAGGATGACCCCATTCTATACGTCCGATTTGTATTGTCGCAAGGAATTTTTCTACCTGACGATAAAGGTTTCGCCAGGCTCCAGAGTGCGGGGCTTACCCAGGTGTCTCAGGCCAGTAGTCAAATAGCCTCTGGGGCTCATTTTGACGGAGCTGTCGTGCAAAGAGGGATTTGAAGATTCACTGCTCTGTTGAGAGGATGATTGTTGATGTCCGTTACCGGAAGCTGGAAGTGATTATCAGGGTCAGTGGGAAAACGCTTCCACAACTTGAGAGTCTTTTGAGATGCAGAAAGAAGATAAGTTGCAGAGGCGATGTATTGGAAGGATAATGCTCGGGGCAGGAACGAAGAGTTTAGCAATTCGAAGCCACACACCCCAAATTCCAGGTATGAAGCCCTTGAAGATGGTTGTAGGTGAAAATTCTGGTTGGTGAAATTTGAAGAAAAACGACTTGGGCTTCTGATTGAAGATTGAATGATAAGTAGGCCTTTCAAATATAGTTCGTCTGGGGTGTTATACCTTCACCCAATCAGAAAGCAATGGTGTCGAGTCGCGTTGCGTTCTCTCTACTGGGTTATATAGCGGCTTTCTGGTGGACGAGGAGAGAAGACATGATTTGGAAACTCCCATAAATGTCGGGAACAACGTGGAGCTCCAATTCTAAACTGATGCGTTGGTGAAAGTGACAGGGAAGAGCTTCGTGACGCGGAAAACAGACAGTTTTCTCGACTTACGATTGAGACTGGTGATTGGTAAAGGGTTTCATGGCGATATAACACCAGCGTTCGTTTGCAGATATTGTGCAAAAAATTAAACAGATCATACCACTCTGGAAATGAGATCCTTAAATCCTAGATTTACCCCGGTCGTCTCAAGATTCCAGGATTTACCTGAAGGGCTCAACTACAAAATTTTTATTGACTGTCAACTGTACTGATGACTTTTAATCGATGCTGTCGAAATGTGAGGTGTCACCTATGCAAAAAGATCAGGATGTCTCGATGGTGCCACCCTGAGATAGGTACAAATTATTATATATCGTTTAGATCGTTTAGTCAGCCTTGTCCGCATAGATTGTTCAAAAAGGCGCGGATCTTGTTGTTCTTTAGTTAGAGAATTCAGACTATTTTTCGTACCATTTCCATTGAACCAACGATCTCTGTCATTACGAAAAAGTGGGCGTGCACGCGTCAAACATAATTTTAGTCCCCTCGCTTGCCGAATCTTTCTCTAATGTCTAGGACCAAATCAAAATCCTGTGGCAGCTTTAGTATGTTCTACCTAGTAGTAGCCTATTTTGTGATTGAGATAAAGGTCGAGTTTCTTCTTAAATTGAAGAGTTCTCGAGAACTTTTCGCGACCAGAATCCACATCCGAGCTAAAAGCTCTATGTAGGAAGGAGAAATTTCAGCAGTGAAGGTTGAGTAAGGCGTATCAAGAAAAAGACCACTGTAAGCTAATTGAAAGCTACTATCGGCTGACTTCAAGAGTCCTACATTCTGTTTATGTCGATTTGATAGAAACCCCTGATCTCATCCTTTACACGTCTCCATTTTCACGTTTTCGCATACTATAATCTTCTCTCCAGTTTAGTATAACACATACGACCACAGGGTGGGGAAAACAGGGCTTCCCGTCCGCTCAGCCGTACTTAAGCCAAGTATTCTGCACAGTCAATAGTCAATGTGCCCTCAGCACCTAAGCGACACTCTAGGGTGAGTGCGGGTGATATGGGTGAGAAGTCTCGAGACTGGGGTGAGAGAGGTGAGAACGGAGTGACAATTCTCACCCTTGAGGTGATAAGGGCCAACTCACTCTGAACCTATGCCAGTCCCAAGAAAGAGACACAAAGCCCTGAGGCCCTTCTCTTGCTCTGCCATGATTTTCTTTGAATTTCCTTACCATCCAAAATATGTTCTCCGAAAATGATCTCCAGAAAGCCCTCCAGGAGCGTATTGCACGTGCCGCATCACGTGGTTTCACACGTGAATATCAAAACGAGAAGGACTATCTGCCACCGTGAGCTAGCGCCTGCCACGTTAGAAAATAACGACTATGTAGTTGTCACTTGGGCTCTGC